ATGTGGGTGGGGCCAGGAGTGGAAGGCCACTTGGAAGAAAATGGAAACAGGAAACGGGGTTTGGAGGGTGGCGGCTGGTGCCAGGAAGCCAGACCGGGCAGGAGGGATCACCCCAGAGGCTCTGGCGTGTTGTCCCCGGGCTCTTCCGGCAGCTCTGGGTGATCCGAGTTTCCTGCTCTCCTTCGAGGGAGAGTGGCCTGGTGTTCTTATGGCTGGAGGCTCTGTGGGTTTGGGGGGACTGAGCCAGCTTGCCAGGAGAAGCCCCAGCTGGGCTTCCTGCTGACCTGAGAGCAGGAGGGCCCCAGCCCGGCAGGATGAAGCCTTTCCCACCCACCACGGCTCCTGAGCCCTCCCTCCACACCAGGAAGTCTTCTGGGGAAAAGATGAAGCCATTGCACCTGCTGTGAACATGCCCCGCTGGACAAGCTGCCCCGAAGCTGTGGTACTATGAAGGGCAGGCTGCAGAGGCAGGACCTGTGCGCCATGGGGCAGGGACTACTTAGTGCTCTCTGGGCCTCCAGGTCCTGTCTGGGACACGAGAAAGCTGGAGGAGCTCATCTGACACCCAGGTGGCTTGAGCACACTGCCTAGCTTTGCACACAGGCCTTTCTGAGTTCACCCTTACACGCTGTCCGCATTTACCCCCATCCACACCCTCCATTGGAGGACCTGCATGCTAACCACTGGCTCTGCCTGGTCTGCAGGTACTTCCTGCCTGCATCAAGGATGCCTTCTCACCCTTCGAGATGCACCTCGGACGTCTCTTCTCCAGCTCCTTCTCTAGATGTCCCCCTTCTCCTGTCAGGCAGACAATCCCTCCCTCGGGCTCAGCTGACAGTTACAGAGAGCCTTTCATTCATTCCAGAAACCTGCCCTAGACCCGGAGTCACAGTTCTTGGTTCTCTTCTTTCTCTACTAACTTGCTAGGTGAACTTGGACGCCCATTCCATCTCTTTCAAGAAGCAAAGCAGCTGGAGAAGGGCATTTAAGTTTGATCATTTGGAGGTCAAATTCCAGCCACCCGTTAAACAAATATGAGGGCCAACATTCTTCTTTCGTTGTGTTCATTCACTGGAGTACCCACCACCCCAACCAGTTAGCCCGTATACAGCATTGTCACATGTGGGCAGAGATTTTTCAGCCTCTTGTACCTTTGCCTCAAGGTGCCCTGCTATCTGCAATGACATCACCATCAACCTGTGAGCTATCAATTCCACTTAGAGAAGAGAGCTCACTACGTGCCAGGCGCTGCTCCCTGATGGAGGCACAATTATTATTCCCATTTTACAGATGAGGTAAGTGAGGTGCAGAGAGCTTATGTGCCTCATCCAAGGAGCTGTAGTATGGCCCCATGATGGATCTAAAGCCAGTGACCTTGAGCCTGTCCCCACCTTCCCCCTCAACCCAAATGATGCTCCCTGAGGCCCAGCACCTCCCTGCTGCAGGGACCTGCTCCCAAAGAGTGACACCCAATCCCTTATGACTCCTGTGGCGTCAGGGCCCTGTGCCAGGACCTCACACACCTTGAGAAGCTGAGTCTGCAGCTGGAGAGGTACCTCTCCCGAGTGTGGGAATGCCCTGGCGACCTGGGGCTTCATTTATGTTCCTAAATCAACAAGACTCAAAGTAACAACAACGAGAAAAGAAAAAAGAAGTCTCTTTGGCAGTAAGATCTAGCTGCTCTGCTAACTTGCAGCAGAAGGTTGGGATTTTATTCCTGTGTTTAGTAACTCTCAACAAAAGATTTGTTGGTGAGCCTATAATGTAGTGTTTGGTGTTTTTGTTCAAAAATGGAAATTATTTCCTCTGATTTCATGAGCCTGGGAACTCCCATCTGAAGTACCAACGTGTACCCACAAGAGCACGCATGAGAAGCCTGAGGTCTCTTTGGAACTGAACCCCTAACAGGCTCCCCTCTTCCATAATTTCATGGTTTGTTTGGAAAACTGCCCAACTATGACATTGTATCACCTGGGATAATACAACCCTGGCGTGGTGAGCAATTGCTGAAAGGCAGTCTCTTCTCAAACAGCGTTGGAAATAAAGCGTGAATTCAAAACAGTCAGAAAAATAATTTAAAAAACGCCAACTAGTACACAAATAGGGACCCATGTCACGATAACTTTTAAAACAACTCTTTAAGAAATGCGAATTACAAAGAATTCCACCCACTGCCTTGGTATTTGCTGGCAGTCTTTGAGACTGAGGACAATTGTGATTCTAATTTTGCCACAAGAAAGGGATAACACATCCCACATCCTCCAAATCCCCAATTTTCAGCAAGAGACCCTGCTTGGGACTTCAGGGGAGCTGCTGCCAGGGCGGCAAAGGTGAACTGAAGTAATGCCTCTGAGTTCAATTTTTATTTTCTCACATGCTAATGATCCCTAAATGATGCGATATTTCATTCTGAGTTCAGGAGGCACCCCATTGCCATGGCAACTGGAATCTGATACCAGAAGTTCTCCCGTAAATGAGGCTGAGAGGGGTGCCTGTCCTCACTTGCAGAGCGGCCCACGCGGTGCTCAGGGGAACCCCCAGCACACCTGCCCCTCCTCCCTGTAAGGACTTCCGGAGACACAGAAAACTCCAGAGAATAACGCATAACTTCTCTTCGTAAAGTCTGGCAGGACTAGAGAATGGAACATAGATGATTTTAGAATGTTCATTTGCATGGGGAAGAAAAGGGTGTTTTTAACTTTCCTGTATCAATAACTCCCTGAAAACTTGGGACAAAAGACAAACAATCATCAAAGAGCTCAATATGGTATAAATAAAATATTGCACTGCCATCTTGGAGTGGACACTGTGGGAAGTTGTCCTTTACACATCCTTTCTTCCAAGAGACCCCTGCCACCCCCACCTGCCAGGGTCTGGAGCTGACCCTGAGCCTGAGGCTGTGAAGGCTTCTCTGTGGGGCCTGACCCACCGGCCAAACCTGCAGAAAGGGCATCTCCAGGACAGCATCAGGCTGACCCTCAGTGCCTTCCATACCCACTTTCCAATATGGCCCCCAAGCCCTGCTGGGCAGAGCCCTGGTTCCTGCCTCTGAGGACCCTCTGGTCTATGCATTTCACTGCTCTGGATACGTGATGACCACAGGTGTCATGAATACCAACACCTGTAATGTGCCAGCACATGTTTAGTGTTTTCTCCACAGAGTAGGTGGGTACTGCCAATAGCCCCATTTGGCAGCTGAGAAAAGGCCCAGAGAGGTGGAGTCGTGCACCCAAGGCCGCACAGCTGGGAAGTGGCAGAGCCAGGCTGCAACCTCTGGGGGCCTTAGCAGCACTGTTCTCCGCTGGAAGGGAGCTCAGGACAGTGACCCTGCCACACCGCCTGGGCGGGAACTCACAAAATCTGTGAAAACTCAACAAATTGGAAGGATTTGGCGAATAAAGTCCATCAAGCACAGAACAGAACCCTGATCTGCTTGCCCTGCCCCCGTCCCTCCTGGCTTTTGCGGTGGCTGTTTTTCCCGCGCATGGGAGAGAAATGCTGTCTGAATAACGGATGGCGAGGGAGTCTGTGCATACTCTGAGGCAGAAATAAAAACCTTCAGAAAGATGCAATTTGGGGGATATTGGAAACTGGAGGACGGAACATCAGTCTATAAAATTCAACATGGCCAATAAAGCTGGAACAACCGGTCAAGTGTTTAGAGCTCATGGCTGCTGGGGACGCGGCAGGCACGCAGCTGGGCAGTGCTCCCAGACCAGGGACATTTTTCCTGGGCTCATTTCCATAACGTGCCTCATGATTTCTGAAGCACTTCAGCATCAGCGCCATAAGCACAGCCATGAAAGTGTCCAAGACGGCTCCCATCAGAGGGTACACTTGACTTCCCAGAGCCTGAGTGCTCCAGGGCGCCTGCGGGCTGTGGCCCGTGGGCGAGGGTGGGAAGGCGCCCCTTCCGTGAGTGCAGGAGGCACGGGCAGAGGCCGCAGGGGCCACAGACCCGGCTCCACCTCGGAACCGCTCCCAGCACACCATCCTGGGCTTGGGCCGGTGAGGGTGCACCCCCACAGTTCCATGTAGAAGCCCTCTGCTGTCAGTGCGGCTCCGTCCCAAACCTTCTCTCCCCCTTCCTGCCCAGCCCCCCAAGGCAGGTCTCTGTCCTCATGCAGCCCCATGTGGGCTTTCCCACCTCCCCACCCCCACTCCCATCTGCCCACATGTTGCTTCTGCCTTCTCGCACTTCCTAAATTATTCATGTGTGGCCATTTGGTTCAGGATCACACATATTTCTCAGGCTGTGGCATGTACCATTCATCGGGCCACGTCAACGTGGGGGTCTGCATTCCCACCCTCACATCTTCCAGCTTGCGAGCCACCGAGCGTCTGTCTACCTGCTGCAAGGCCCTGCCCCGCGCGCCAAGAATGGGTCTGGCCATGGGCTCTAACCCTCCAGTGGGAGCGGCCACTGCCCTTCTCTTCTGACTCAACCCCAGCCCTGAGCATGAACCCTTTGGCCCCGACTCCACGGACATGTTCTGCTGTCCATTCAGGGCCTTCCTCTCTTGCTTAGGGGCATTCTGGCCAGGCCAGGCATGGAGTGCTGTTCTGTCGGCGACCACTCCATGCCAGTTTGACAGCCTGCCGTGCTGGGCCCACTGTGCTGGAGTACATCTGGCCGCATTCTATGCACAGCATGGTCCCCTGATTCATGTGACTGTCCAGAGGGGTAAACGTAGGCCCTATCACCAGCCTGACAGGGCCCACCCTATGTGTGAGAGAGACCTGGGCACCGCCTAGTGGCTGCTTCCTCCCGGGCATGTCCACAGCAGTCAGGGACCCCAGGGAGGCCCCTCTCCAAGGGCAGGTGGCACAGCATAACTGCATCTCTGAAATGACACTACGCCACACTGCGAAGGCTCCAGCCTCCCCCTTCTCTGCCGCCTTTACACCTTAACCTGTCACACACCCGGGTCTGGGCCAGAAGGGCATTTCAAGAACCATCCCCACACCCCGAACCGCAGGAGCACGAAGCATCTTCCTACCTCTAAGGAAACAGTCCTTGCTGTGGACGATGACGATCTTCTTCCCCAGCAGGCAAGCGGCACGGTGGAGCTCACAGTGGTTTTCATAAAACCTCCCGTTGGAGCCACACACGGGCAGGTAGCTGGGTTTGCAGGCCTCCAGGCACCGGCACTCGGGCTCCCCCGTCTCCCTGCTGAGCGCGCACCTGCTTCCGCGGCCGCACAGCGTCTTTCCGCAGGAGGCCGGCAGCCCTTCGTGGGCGGAGAGCCCTGCCAGGCAAACAGACGCGGAGGGTCAGCTACAGAAGGCTGACGTTTCCCTCTGGGGAGATTACAGCTCTGGGATGAACATCAGCAGCAGTGGCACCAGCCTTTCTCCACTGCGGCGTCTTGTCCTGCACAGCACAGTGCTGCAGCTGTGGGCGGGAAGGCCAAGGCCTGGAAATGGCAGCTGCCGTGTTGCTTCAGGCCTCCCCTGTGACATTGCTGGGTGTCCCCTGCGCCCAATACATGCCCGTGATCTTAGGCAGTGGTGCCCAGAGCTCAGACGGCAAAGCGGGCAGGGAAGATAGTAGAGTGGTTTATGCTAAAAAGGGTACATTTAGTGAAAGGCCAAATGAACATCTACCACATTACACTCTAAGCTGGCTGATTGCCATGCGGCATTAATGGCAACAGACAGGAAGTTGAGAATCACAAAGGGATATTAAAATACAAATAATTACCAGCATCAAAATGAAAAGGGAACCCACTCTTTGGAAAAACATATTTGCCTATGATACATCAGATAAGGGGTTAATATCCAAAATATATAAGTATTCATACAACTCAACAAAAGGAAGAGAAACAATTCAATTAAAAAATAGTCAGAGGACCTGAATAGACACTTATCCAAACTGGACAAACAAATGGCCAAAAGTCATGTGAAAAAATACTCAACATCACTAATCATTAGAAATAAAAATTAAAACAACTATGAGGTATTACCCCACACCTGTCCGAATGGCTGCCATCAACAAATCATCAAACAACAAGTGCTGGCAAGGGTGTGGAGAAAAGGGGACTCTAGTACACTGCTGGTGGGAATGCAGACTGGTGCAGTCACTATGGAAAACAGTATGGTGTTTCCTCAAAAAATTAAAAATGGAACTGCCATTTGACCCAGTGATCTCACTTCTTAGAATATATCCTAAGAAGCCTGAAACACCAATCAGAAAGAATATATGTACCCCCATGTTCATAGCAACGCTATTTACAATAGCTAAGATCTGAAAACAGCCCAAGTGTCCATTAGATGAGTGGATAAAAAAGCTGTGGTACATATACACAATGGAGTACTATGCAGCTGTAAGAAAGAAAGATCTCTTATCCTTTGAGACAACATCGAGGGACCTGGAAAGTATTATCCTGAGTGAAATAAGCCAGTCAGAGAAAGACAAATATCACATGATCACTTATTTGTGGAATATAATGAACAAAATAAGCTGAGACATGGAAGTAGGGAACAGACTGACAAACCCCAAGGGAAGGGGGGTGGGAGGGGTGGGAAGAGATAAATCAAAGAACATGTATGCATATATGCACGACCAATGGATACAGACAACAGTGTGGGAAGGCAGGGGGTGATAATTGGGGGGAAATGGAAAAAAGGGAATATCTGTAATACTTTCAACAATAAAGATTTTTTAAAAGTTTAAGATAAACTAAAAAAAATACAAATAATTAAAACATGAATGCAGATTTTATGGCCACAGAAGTCTTTGCTTTTAAGTTTTCATTTCTACAAAATACTCAGCCAAACAGAATGAACCCGGCAGTCAAGATTTAACATTCAGCCCCAGCTCCTGCCCCATGGGATTAAAATGTCTAAGGAAAAAAAAGAACCTTCCTCCTCTTGTTTTTGGTTAAGTCTGCTTTTCATCATTATAGATTTGAAAGGAAAAGAATCAGTTATCGGTAGATTAACTGCTTGATTCAATAACTCATTTAAATCCCTCCAGCCTTGGCAAGCTAAGAAATATTGACTTTTTCTTGTCACAATAAACTAGAAGGTCAAAATATCTCCAAGCAGTGTAAAAGTGCGGTCCTCAGCGGGCGCGTGGGCGTCCTTCACCCACGCCGCTAATTGCTGGCGTGTCACCCTGAAGGCTCCGTGGCCTTCACCAGCCACAGTGCGCACCTTCCCTTCCAGGTTGACGGGCGGGGCGCTCTGGGCTGCGGCCCCGCCCACAGTGCTCAGGGCTGCTTTGCCTGGAGGTGCGTTAGATGAGCCCGATTCTCCTGGAAAACGTGTTACCCAGGAAAGCGCTGGCGGCTACCTGGAGAAGCTAACACAGCTCTAAAAATACCAGCATTTGTTTCCTTCCCAGTACAGCGCCAGGACACAAAGCACAGCCACTGCATCGCTGTTTTAATAAACTACTGCGTGCGATGGGAGGGGCACCCACTAATGGCCCCCTTTGGAAAAACAACAGAGCCAAGGTTTTGAGCCTCTGGTCTCCTTTGCTCCACGGTGCTGCCCATCCAGGCTGTGCTCTTTCCCCCTGAATCAGCTCCAACCCCCCCACCAGGGTCCATTTCCTGCCCCCTCCCATCCCAGAGCCCCTCTCTGAATCCTCCTGCCCCACAGTGTCTGCCCACTCTCGGCCTCCGGAGACCCCACAGGGCCAGGGCCTGCATCCTCATGGGGGCTGCCGCGCACTCAGGTTTTAAGAAACACACCGTTTAAAAAGCTGATCTCCTTAACTCTGATTTTGCCACCGCTCAAACCCAGGCTCGAGGCTGAGATGGAGAGGGCCGGGAGGGGCCCAGCAGGCAGTGACCTTTAGAGGCAGTTGTTCTCAACCTTCCTAATGCCGCGACCCTTTGATACAGTTCCTCCTCTTGTGGTGACCCCCAACCATAAAATTATTTTCGTTGCTACTTAACTGTAATTTTGCTACTGTTATGAATCGCCATCGGAAATATGTGTTTTCCGATAGTCTTAGGCGACCCCAAAGGGGTCCCGACCCACAGGTTGAGAACTCCTAATATAGAGGGATACATGGTGATGGAAACAAATAAAATAATATATATATATATTTTAAATAAGGCCTCATGTTAAGAGGGAGCACGCCAAACGAAAGTGAAACAAAGGACTTCATGGTCAGAGAGGAAAGAGCAGGACCAAGAGTGGTGTGAGGCGAAGCTGGAGAGTCAGCCAGGAGCCCGCTCATGCAGGGAAGGACTCAGGCAGGGTGACCATTACATCTCAGTCTGCCCAGCACAATTCCCATTTATGCCAGTTGTTCCAGCAGAGTTATTAATAGCTCCCTCCTCACACAAAAGTATCTCTGAATGCTAAATTATATGGTCTCCCTACTATTAGGTAATGCTCAGGATATTAGACTTTATCCTAGAAGCTGCTCAAGTGTTTTAAGCAAATATGATCACTTTTTTAAAACTATGTTTTTATTGATTTTTTAGAGATAGGAAGGGAGAGAGAGATAGAAACATCAACATGAGAAACATCGATCAGCTGCCTCCTGCACACCCCTACTGGGGATGGAGCCCGAAACCCGGGCATGTTCCCTGACCGGGAATTGAACCGGGACCTCTCAGTCCATGGAATGACACCCAACTAACTGAGCCCCACAAGCCAGGGCAAGAATCAACTTAAATGGATGTTAAGAATGTCTCCCATGCCCTGGCAAAGTGGCTCAGTTGGTTGGAGCATCATCCCATACACCAAAGTGTTGTGGGTTCAATTCCCAATCTGGACACATACCTATGTTGTGGGTTTGATTCCTGGTTGGGGCATGTACTGGAGGCAACCGAGCAATGCTTCACTCTCACATTGATGTTTCTCTCTCTCTCTAAAAAAAAAATTAATTAAAAAAAATCAATAAAAACATATCCTTGGTTGAGGATTACAAAAAAAAAAAAGAAAAAGAAAGAAAGAAAGAAAGAAAGAAAGAAAGAAAGAAAGAAAGAAAGAAAGAAAGTCTCCCCCTCACAGCCAACATTCTTGTCAAGTGACTTGAGCTCATGATCTGCCTCCCCATTCCTTCCTCAGTCACGGCCAGTCTCTTCACTAGCATTAGGCCTCCTCACTGTCAGTGATAATCTCGCAGGCGCCCAAGTCAACTGGATCCATCTTAGGCCTCATCAAACTAAAACCATACGAGCATTCCTTAGTAAATCCCCTTATTCCATGACTCGACTCTCTCCCCACCTCTCTGGCTGTTGCTCACCATCTCCACCGCGGGCTTTCTTTCCTCTGCCTAGTCTTCATCTGTCTCTGACTTTGCCCCTCTTCTCTTTTCTCTCTCTACTGCCCAGTATCGCCCATGCTTCTAAAACTGCCTGTCGATCCAAGTCTCTTCAGAGCTCCAGAGAAGTACTCCACATTGCCGGCTGACATCTCCACCTGGAAGCCCAGTAAACACCACCAAGTCCCTAACACCACTGACCCTGAGTAGGGTCCTCCGAACCTGTTCCTTCCACATCGATCTGTTAAGAGCAACACTATGTGCCTAGGCACCCAGGCGCGGAAACAGCCACCCTGGACTCCATTCTCCCTAGGCTGCCCAATCCACCTGTCCTTTCCCACTGCCCGCTTCAGTCACCGCGTCACTCCCCAAGTGTCCTCGCTAGTGTTTCACCTCTGCCCGTTCTTCTCTCCACAGGATACCCAGACTCATGTCACTCTTATGCCTAAAGTTCTTGAGGCTCCTCCTTACATAAAAGCCTATCCTCAGTTCCGATATCAGTACCTTCCCAATTTCCATGGTGTCTTTGAAACCTTTGCAAGGTTCCTAATCAGCCTTAGGTGGTAGTCTCTGTCTCCCATGTGGTACTGCTAAGCAGTTACTACGTTGTATTAGTGTATGACATTTAAAGTATCATAATACGGTAGCATTTGTTTTCTATCTTCTACACTAGACTGTAAGCAACTTGATAACAGGGACTGAGCGTCCCCTCTCTCTATCCCAAGCATCTGGTTCAAGGCCTGGCATGTAGTACCTGTTCCACAAATGGGTGCTTAATACAAAGGAAAATAACATTTCTTTCAAAATTATCATTAAACCATAGAGTAAAGCAGGAGAGTAGCTTTCTGAGAAGGAAGGAGAAAAGAGGTCTCTTTCAGCAATTCATCTTCACCCTTTCCTAATTAGCAAATGAAGTCCTCAGTTAATATTTCAAACAGTGGCTTCAATTACTACGCTTTCCTGACGTCCGAAATTACGACCTTAGGGGCTATGAACTATCAACTGAAAAAAACACACATC